GCGAACGGTTTTGACTCCATTTTCCAGACTAGAAAATTGAGGTTTAGAGGGATTAAGTGATTGACAAAGTCCCCGGCTGATGAGTGGTAGACGGATGAGACTGCATAGGCCGCTGCCCTGTTCGGGGTCCACCGGGGCCTGTTTTGGGTATGGATGGACCCAACTCTCAAGGCAGAGTTGCTTCGCTTCGGCCTTTCTGTGGTTTCTCCAGACCAAGTACAGCCCCTTGGCTCTCCTTCCCCCCTCCCCCATCCTCCACTAATATCCTGGCTCAATGAAAGTTGAGCGAAACAAAAAATCCCGCCACTCCTGAGCCCGGAGCCACTGCCTCCTTTTCCCAGCATGCTGCCTGTCCTGCCAAGTTTCTTTCCACTTTTGTTGCGTGTGCAGGACTTGGAATTTCCTCTTAAGACCGGCAGGGCAACTGGAATGAGTCAGGCTGCGAAATGCTGCAGGCCAAGGGAGGTGACTTTTCTGAGAGAATGAAGTAGGCAGTGCTGCTTTGCCGATCCTGAATGTCACATCATTCTCAAAAAACAGGCCTGCTGCTGGAGTATAATCATGAGCCTGTGTTTCCTCTCTGTCATCCACCTACTTGCTAATCAATCATAATATTTATTGGAGTCTGGGTAGGCCCCTGCGGGAGGGTACAAAGGAGCGGAAGACCCAAGTCATATTTGTCAAGCACATAAGGAGGGGTCGGTGGAGGGCAAATCCTCCCGCCCCCCGCAAGTTCAGCAGAGGCAGTGTGGTGTTTCTTGGCCCTGAATCCCGGAGCCCAGGCATTGCCAGCCATCTCGTTGGCCATTGAGACATTGAGAGAAGGAATATGAAGAACACACGGGGGGGGGGGGGGCACAACACGACTGTCTTGAGTATGTTTGAGGGACAGGAAGTGGTTACCCTGCTTACAGCAGAATACCATAGGAAACAGGGGAGGTGGGAAGTTGAAGCCAAAATGGGGAGGAAGTTGGTCTTCATTCCCGATGCGTCCTCCCTGCCCCCTCCTGTAGTCTTTCCTTTCTGGTTCTCACCCCTTCTCCATCACAGCTACATATAGATCATGTTCTCTTTGGGGCTCAGTTTTCCCACCCACACGGTGACCAGAGGGCTTCATCCAGGTTTTTAAGAATCCTCGTTGTGCTAAAACTTTGAAATAGCGACCTTTCTTTTAATTCAGTGGTGCAATCAGTGCCTTGCATTTATTGTACATGTGTGTGCCAGGCATTGTGCTCGGCACTTGAAAACGTGTCATCTCTTTTGACTCTCAAAACAGCCCCAAGAAATAACTACTATTATTAACCCATTTTGCAGATGAGGAAAGCGAGAGGCAAGTAACTGCATGGTTGCACCACTCGTAAGTGACAGTGCTAGGTTATTTTAACTGCAGTCTAACTGGTAGAACATTCTTTTTTTTTTTTTGATTTGGGGGTCTCACTGTTGCCTAAGCTGGAGTGCAGTGACATGATTGTGGCTCATTGCAGTCTCAAACTCTTGGGCACAGGTGATCCTTCTGCCTCAGCTAACAGAGTAACTGGGACTGCAGGTACATGCCACAATGCCTGCCTGATTTTTTTATTTTTTATAGAGATGAGGTCTTGCTGTGTTGCCTAGGCTGGTCTCTAGTTCCTAGGTTCAAGCAATCTTCCCACCTTGGCCTCCCAAAGTGCTGGGAGTACAGGTGTGAACCACCCTGCCTGGCCCTAGAACACTCTTAACCACTCTGTTTATTTCTTTGTCTTTTCCATGCTTAGCATAGTCCATAGTCGTCAATAAATGTCCATTGACTTGTAACTCAGAACATGCCCAGAACAGTGTTAACATTGTCACTTTATGTGTCCAGTTTGAGGAACCAGTTTTTGATTCGTTCTCTGACAACCTAAGTTTGAACCCCTTTATAACTCTGAGAGACTTGGTGGGGTGGTGGGGTTTGGTTCTTGGCAGGGAACTGTACCTACAGGATTACTATTCATAATTGGTTTTCATTATGGGCCAGGCATGCTGTTAAATACTTTATAGCTTTGATTTCAGTTCTCCCAGCCCCCCCGAGGCAGGTATCACTTATTACCACCATTTTGCAGATGGAGCAGCTGAGGACTGGCTGTGTTCCTTGTTCCAGGTCACACATAGACCATAAGTGGTGTAGCTGTGACTGGAGTTGGGTGCCTACCTATTCTCTTGTTTTCCAGGTGCTCTCAGTATTGGAAAATGGCTCACATCTTCTGTTTGGCTGTAGCACAGGCAGAGAGGCTGGTCTGCCCTTACCCAAAGGATTCAGTGAGCACAAGTGGCCCAAGGCTTCAGAAAATGTGGGCACTTCGGCTCGGGGTCCTCTGAAGAGTCTGTGTTGCCTTGACAGGTCCAGGGTGGCATAAAGTGATTGTAGGAATAGGCTTAGGCCAGGCAGTGACAGTTTAATGAGACTGGGAGCTGCTGTAAAGAGCAAGTTCTCAGGTGGTATTTCTTTGTTTTCTTGTCTTGACTCTGGACAAGTAGTCAGGGCCACAGGTGTGGCAACCTCTCTTCCAGGCACTCTTCCTGAGCGTGTCACATAGTGGCTAAAGGCTCGGGTTCTGAAATCAAACATTCTGGGATTTTGATGTCTGCGGCTCCCACTGACCAGCTTCCTCATTTGTAAAATGGAGCCGCCAACGCCTGAGACTGTGATGAGGATGTAGTGAGATTGAAGTCTTTTCGTGGCTGTTGTTACACAGCGGCCGCTAACCCCCCTCTGCTGAGGGCTGTGAGCTCCTTGACGGCAGGACTCTTGCCCTACCACTTAGGGGACAGCCCTCAAATGTTGGGGGAATGGGTATTTCCAGTGCAGATGTAAAGGTGAACAACTCACAACCTCTTGTGGGGGGGCCACGACATTCTTTTTACAGAGTTGAGGGTTGGTTGGTTTGGTTTTATCTGAAATGTCTAGACTACACTGCCATTATTTGTGAAGAGCTAGTCTAGGTTAAGTGGACAGGGATCAGAGGGCACATGGGCCAGCTTGTCCAGTTTGCTCGATCATTCTGCAATTTCATTCAGAAAACCCTGGATGAACCCCTGTCGTGTTGTAGGCCCTGTGCCCACCTGTTTATGCCTTTAAGGACTTAGTTAGAACAGGCAGATACCGTGACTTAGAGATGCATTCTCTCCTGTACCTTCGCAAAGTGTCCTTTACGACTCAGGCTGTATTTGGTTGGGCAGGGAACTGTCTAGTAGTCTGGATTCCCTGGGAACCTTATTCTAATCTGTCTTTAAGTCATAGACTGATGGAGCTAGACGGGACCTCAGAGACCTTTTTTGTTAATAGACAAAGGACCTGGGACTTGGGAAGGGAATATGACTTCTGTGGGCTCACAGAGCTGGTGTTGGTGGGTGGAACGCGAGCCGAGGTGTGCTAGTCACATTCCTGTTGCAGTTTGTTCTCCTGCCCTGTGGGATTGGGCTGAAGAGGGTGCTAGGAGTCTGCAGACTTCTGAGGATCATGATGCAGGGTCAAGATTAAACAGTAATGAAGATAATAGCTACTGTTATCGAAGGTTCACTGTGTTGAACGCATACATTAATTCACTTCATCCTCACAAAGACAGGCCTGTGAGTCAGGTACTGTGTTTGTTTCTGTCCTGTAGCTGAGGAAATCAAGGCACAGACAGGCTAACTAACTTCTCCAAAGTCACAGAACTGGGACGTGTCAGAGCTAGCATCTGAACCTAGGCATTCTGGCTTCAGTGCCCATGCAATCTTTGTTTTTAACTTCTTAATCATGGTAATGCTTAAGCGTAGACAAAAAAGAGAGAGCCACACAATGAACCCCAGTTTCAATAATTATCAGCATTTTGCCATTCTTTCATTCTCTCCCCATTCCTTTTTTTTTTTTTGACTGGAGTTAGAATAGTCCCGACTGAAATTCCCTACTGCCCAGTGGGTGGCCACCTCGTCTCTTGTTCTCCAGATGTTTTTGGTGATGGAAAATGCTCAGGTCTTCCTAATGGCCATAGCACAGGCAGGGAGGCTGGCCGGTCCTGAATCTAGAAGATTCATCGGGCCCAAGTGGGTCCTGGGCTTCAGAAGTGTTAGCACTTCTGTTGTGAACCCTCTGAAGAACCTGCATTGCCTCTGCAGACCGGGGTCACTAATCATCACTTGTGCAGCCTCTCAGTCTATTAACCAGCTCCCTCAGCAGTTCCCAGGTCAGATTTTGTTTAGGGAAGAATTTATTTAGAATGAATGTGTCATGGCAAACAAGATGTAATGTGTTCCCAAAGCCAGAGAATGCTAAGAGATCACCTGGTCCACTGCTCACATTCTGTAAGTCACACTGAGGTCCACGGAGGACAGTGACTTGTTCAGGGCCATACAGCTTGAAGTGGCAGGCAGAGACCCGACCCTTATTTCTTGGCGCCCAGCCAGCCCAGTACCTCCCAGGGGCCTCAGCTTTTATTCTGTGAAAACTTGTGAGACTCTCAGTTGCAAGAGCTAGAAACCTGGCGCAAGGTGGCTTAAAGGGAGGGAGATTCTTGATTGGGTCAAACTAAAAAGTTCCAGAGCAGATTCCTTCAAGTGAGACTGCATCAGGGATCCAGGTGTGGCTCAGACCTGGATCTTGCCATGTCTCAGTTCTGTTTCCCCCTGTGCTGGCTTGACACTTAGACTGGCGTTCCTTGTGCTGTCTGAGTAGCTCCAAATTTACCGTATCCTATGGCCAGTAATCCCAGTGCAAAGAGAGACTTTCTCTCCCAATAGTTTAACAGAAGTCCTAGAGTCATCTTGCTGACCTGCCTCAGGCCACATGCCCATGCGTGGGCACATCCCTGGGCTAATCAGGGTGGCTCCAGGTGGGGGTAGGGATGGAAAGTGCTGACTGGTGAGGCCTGGATTGTAAACCATCCCTGGAGCAGTTGGAGGGAGCCCTAGGGGTGTTCCCCTCAAACCACATGGACTGTGGGTGGAAGGATGTTTCTCCAAAGGAAAATTGTGGTGCCATTCTGGAAGAGAAAGGACCTAGAGGCTGGGCAGACAAAAAAAAAATAATGTATAAAACTCATCAGCTTTTCTCCGCAATTAACATGTGGATTTGATTACAGGTACAGTCTCTGCAATCCACGTTTGGGACTTTTGAGTCCATCCTGAGAAGCTCCCAACATAAACAAGACCTCACAGAGAAAGCTGTGAAACAAGGGGAGAACGAGGTCAGCCGGATCAGCGAGGTTCTGCAGAAGCTCCAGAACGAGATCCTCAAGGACCTCTCGGACGGGATCCACGTGGTCAAGGACGCCCGGGAGCGGGACTTCACGTCGCTGGAGAACACGGTGGAGGAGAGGCTGACGGAGCTCACCAAGTCCATCAACGACAACATCGCCATCTTCACCGAGGTCCAGAAGAGGAGCCAGAAGGAGATAAACGACGTGAAGGCAAAGGTCGCCTCTCTGGAAGAATCTGAGGGGTACAAGCAGGATCTGAAGGCCTTGAAGGAAGTTGTGAAGGAGCTCCAAACCTCTGCCAAGTCCAGAGAGCGGGACATGGAGACCCTGAGAAGCACCCTGCAGACCATGGAGTCCGACGTGTACACGGAGGTCAGGGAGCTGGTGAGCCTCAAGCAGGAGCAGCAGGCCTTCAAGGAGGCGGCCGACACGGAGCGGCTCGCCCTGCAGGCCCTCACCGAGAAGCTCCTCCAGTCCGAGGAGTCCACCTCCCGCCTCCCGGAGGAGATCAGGAGACTCGAGGAGGAGCTGCGCCAGCTGAAGGCCGACTCCCACGGGCCGGAGGAGGACGGAGGCTTCAAGCACTCTGACGCCTTCGACGCACTCCAGAGAAAGAGTCAGGGGCTGGACTCCAGGCTCCAGCACATGGAGAACGGAGTCCGTGCCGTGCAGGAAGCTTCTGCGCACCAGACCGAGAGCCTGGAATCCCTGCTGTCCAAGAGCCAGGAGCACGAGCAGCGCCTGGCCGCCCTGCAGGGGCGCCTGGAGGGCCTGGGGTCCTCCTCGGAGGCAGACCAGGATGGCCTGGCCGGCACCGTGCGCAGCCTGGGTGAGGCCCAGCTGGCCCTCTTCGGCGACGTGGAGGAGCTGAAGCGAAGTGTGGGTGAGCTCCCCAGTGCCGTGGAGTCGCTCCAGAAGGTGCAGGAGCAAGTGCACACGCTGCTCAGCCAGGACCAAGCCCAGGCCGCCCGGCTGCCACCTCAGGACTTCCTGGACAGACTTTCTTCTCTAGACAACCTGAAATCCTCAGTCAGCCAAGTGGAATCGGACTTGAAAATGCTCAGGACTGCCGTGGACAGTTTGGTTGCGTACTCGGTCAAAATAGAAACCAACGAGAACAACCTGGAGTCAGCCAAGGGCTTACTAGATGACCTGAGAAGTGACCTGGATAGGCTGTTTGTGAAGGTTGAAAAGATTCACGAAAAGGTCTAAAGGAATCGTGTATGCAGGGCGCGGATTTACACTCCAGTTTCTCATGACCAAAAAAAAAAAAAAATGTGTTGTTTTCTCTCATGTGCCCCACCCCCACCCCAGTTTCTTGTCCCCTTTAAAGAGCAGCAGACACCCCCCCCAACACCAAGGCATTGTGTTTTTGTGCCCAGTTAATTTATTTACAAAGATTGCCACACATCGTTGGTTTCTAAAGTTCTCTGCTTCTGCTTTTGGTTGGTTTCCTGAAGCCCAGCCCCTATGAGCAAGAGGTGGCTTTTAGAAGGGATGTCTCCAGGGTCAGAGAAAAACGATAATGGCTTCAAACTGAGGATTAACAGAAGCAGATTAACTCTAACCTCAAAAATCCTGTCTGGCTGGCAGATTTCAAGTAAAAAAAAAAAGGCGGGGAGGGGGCACTTTTCTTTCCAATCGTCTGTATGGAAAATTAATTTTACTTATTTTGTACTGGCGGCCGAAGTTTTTACGAGCTCTCTCTCTCAGTCTTCCACTTTAAACTGGTTAAAACTCCTAGGTGTCAGCTCTGAATCAGGAGGGGAGAAGCCCCTTTGTCTTTATTGTAAAAGAATCAGCTCCTTGAGGGTGGCCTGCCTTCCTCCTGTGGTGTGAGTGTGTTTTCCATTCCTGAATCATCTAGTGATATCATCACAGGTAACTATGCAAAGAATCCAGACGGTTCTGAATGTGAAAGCACAACACCCAGCAGGGCCCTCCAGAGGGCACCAAATCCTGCTTGGGTTTAGAATCTCAGAAAGGGGGAGTCCTTGGGTTCTTTGGAGAAATGTGCCCTGAGAACTGTCCACAGAGGAATGGGGTGTCTCCCTGGGAAACGGAGGCCACGTCTTATCGGAACGTGATGTCCATGAAGAGGTTTGCTGTCGAACAACCCGTTTGTCAGTGAGGAATGTGTGCACTGCATTTCTGTATGTGTTTGCTGTATCCCTTCCCTTTGAGCGGTATTGTTCTTTAATGGCTGTCTTGCCCTTGCCCTCCCCCAAAAAAATTTTAAAAAAAGGAAGAAAAAGAAAAAAACCTGAAAAGTAAAAGAAAAAAAGGTTTGTTTAGTTTACTGTGAAATGAACTGTATGGCTTATTTACAGTATTTTTAATTCTTAATAAACACTTGAGCTTTGTTATTACTTTTCCAGAGTGGTTGCTTTCTGAGAACTTAGTAATTAGGATCTATTCTTATTAGCAGGCAGTATTCAGGATTCGACTTTTTTTTCTTTCAGTTGAAACCAAGACACCTCACTGTTGGGTCTGGGCGCGTACTTGGCAGAATGTTAGCAGGTTTGTTGGTAGGTTATTGCTCGTCTCCAGTTCTTTGGCTACAGTAGAGGTTCTCAAGCTTGATTACCTGTCAGAATCCTGGAGCACGTACCAAAAAAAAATCCCTGTTCTCCAGGATTCAGGTTCGATGGGCGTGAATAGTCTGGCACAAGCATTGTGAAGGCTCCCTCACTGCTCCTGGCGTGCCAGGGTTGAGAACCCCTGTCTCAGACCATCTTGGCGACCTGCAGCCCCACTGCACGCCTGAGCCCCGTCGCCTGTCCTTGCCTGGGTTTCCTTCCCCTTACCCTAGTGATAGCGATGTGGTAATTGCGTACCTGTGTGCCAGGTTTGTGCTGAGCACTACAGTTTGGGCCTCTGTTTATTCCTCCTCCTCCTCTTCCCCTGAGGTGGGCAGCGTCACTCCCTGTTTCACAGGGGGCAGCCATCTGAGAAGCATCACACGAGATGGTTAACTAGAAGTGGCAGGGCTGCCGGGCTCAGTGGCTCAGACTGTAATCCTGTGCTTTGGGAGGCCAAGGTGAGTGAATTGCCTGAGCCCGCGGGTTCGAGACCCACCCGGGCAACTTGGCAAAACCTCATCTCTAAAATAAATAAAAAAAATCAGCCGGGCGGGGTAGCGCATGCCTGTAGTTCCAGCTGCTTGGAAGGCTGAGGCGGAAGGATCGCCGGAGCCCAGCAGGTCAGGGCTGCGGTGGCTGGGAGTGGCCACTGCACTCCAGTCTGGGCGATAGAGTGAGACTCCAACTCAAAAGAAAAAAGTGGCAGGGCTGAGGATGGAACCCAGTCCTTGCTCTTAGCCACAGCAGCATCCCTCACCATCCAACACCCGTGCAGGTCCACGCTGGCCCATTCTAGAGCCTGAGGCTGCAAGAGGTTTTTCTCCTTTCTGGGGGGGTGGGGGGTGGGTTGGGAGCAGGACCTGCGTGTACACGTTGCTTCATGCACCCCTCATCTCTGAATCACTGTAGCTGTACTTCTGGGTCCCTGAGGCAGCATCTTCAAAGCCTCACAACTCTGAACTTGAAGTTTTTCCCAAAGCACTTTGCAAATCAGGATGGACCCTTCAAATGGTTTCTAGTTTTATTTAAAAATAAATCATTTTATTTTTCAATAATTTTAAAGTCTAAGAGTTGCTATGTTTTAATGACTACTTTCACCCTCTTTCGGGGAGGGCGTGAACAGCCTAAGGCCCCGTGCATGGAGAAAATGAAAATTTCTTGGTTCCTTCTCAGGCCAGTTCTTGGCATTGAGTGTATTCTTGCCCTTCTCCCTGCCATCGTTTCTGCAGTCTCTAATCTCAGGCTGTTCCATTTATTAGATTCTCATTTAGTAGTAGAGAACCTTTGCTTATAAAAAGAGTCCAATAAATAATCAAATTTGGTGAGAATCCATAAAGGAATGTGCTAGGAATTCATATACTCCTGATGGTGGGGCAGTTAGAGATGGTTCTTCCCCCAAGCAACAATTACAGTACAGTCTTGTTCATGTGTGTACTCCTTCGCTCGACCAACTTTCATCGGGCTCATAGCCAGACATTTTGCTAAGCATCACCGAATTAAAGATGCACAGGATAGGATCCTGACCTCAAAGTGTCTGCAGTCCAGTGGGAATGACACGTGTAAAATGGTAGGTGTCATAAAGAATTATAGGTGCTTTAGCCAGGTGTACTGGGCCAAGAGGAGGGAGTGGCCAGTTGTGCTAGGATAGGCTAGAGGTGGTTAGAACGGGTTTTTGAAGGCCTTCAGGAAGTCCCTTGGAATGCTTCTATGAGTGCTGGGAACCTTCAGGAAACGTCAGGTGGTTCTTGCCCTTTGAACAAAGAATAGACATAAACTATTGAAGGTGCTGATTAAACTGCAAATCCAGCACCAGGATAAGAGGCTGCACTGAAACTTCTCAGGACTGAGCACACGGGTGAGGAGACTGCACTACACTTACCACATGGCTTTGGGTAAGTCTCTTAGAATGGCGATGCTAGTGATGCTGGTGATGGAGATGGAGATGGTGGTGGTGGCGATGATACCTCACAGGGTGGTTGTGAGGACTGAATGAGGCAGTGAGTGGAGAGGTTTAGTTTAGGAAGAGCTCGGGGTCTCGTGCATGTGCAACCACACCAGAGGTTAAAAGATTGAAATAATTCTGTGCTGCTTGGTGAGTGGCTGCTTCCCTGAGTCCCCTCAGTGTTCTCCCTCTGGACCGCTAGACTTCTTTATAATCCAGCAGCTAATAGGTTAATATCGCATAGCATGGGGGGGGCACGTTTGTTCTGACGGGTGAGTGCTTTGGCAGGGGTTAAATATTCTGAAATCAACCTTCTTGTGAGCTCAATAATTGGTTGTGTGTGGGTGCGGGTGTTTCCAATTTGTTTGAAATAAATGACCACACAAAGAGGTGGTGAAACTTGATCCCAGTTCGAAAAGGTAAGTAGGGTGGTCAGGTAGCCCGGCCAAGGTCATGGCCATGAGAAGGGAAAGGCTGAGCACAGTTCTCGAGGCTGGAAGAGAAGGAGCAGTGGGGGGTGGCAGCAGGTGGAGATGGGAGAGGAGGGCTGACGGGGCCGGGTCCTGGAGGCCCTGCCTGTCATCCTCCAGAGTCTGGATTTTACCCTCTGAACTGTGGGGAATCAACAGAGGGGTCCAAGTGGGGTGGAGGAACAAACCGGGCTCAGAACTGGGTTCTAAAGTGCCCCCACTGGCAGGACTGGAGGAGACTAATTGGGGAGGGGTGGGCAGGTGGACACTGGAAAACTTAGTGATCCGGGTGGGTCTCATGAGGGTTTGGGTGAAGACAAAAGGGCCTGAGGACGAGTGTTACAGATGGATGCCAGAGGCACGTGGGATGCTGCTGAACGCCTGTGGGACAAGAGGTGAGGGAGGAAGAGGTGTCTAAGACCACGGCCATCCCTGACTGAGAGAGGACACAAGAAGGCCATGTGCGTCCATGTTGCCTGTGCCATGCCCAGAGTTGAGAGGGCTGCTTTCAGGGTTGCTCATCCATGCTTACTACCAAACTAAGGATGTGGATGGGATTGCTTAGAGATTCAAGGAGATGGGGAGGAAAGAAACCCATGAAAGAGTGATCAGACAGGGAAGAAGAACACAAATGGGGTGTGATGTTAAGAAAATCAAGAGCGGAGGAAATATTCAGGAGGAAATGGTCAGTGGTCATGAGCAGTGTGGTCTCATCGTTATCCAGCCTTTACTAGGTACCTCTTCTTCATATCCAAGCTTCCCTAGTCAAATTACAAGTTTAATTTCTGTTTCCTGACTGGACCCTGAGTCATACAGAAGGCTTTCTTTTCTTTCTTTTTCTGAGTTGGAGTCTTACTCTGTCGCCCAGGCTGGGGTGCAGTGGCACTCTCATGGCCACCGCAGCCTTGACATGCTGGGCTCAGGTGATGCTTCTGCCTCAGCCTTCCAAGTAGCTGGAACCATACCTGGCTAATTTTTTAATTTATTGTAGAGACAAGGGCTCACCAAGTTGCCCAGGCTGATCTCAAACCCATGGGCTCAGGCAATCCTCTTGCCTCAGCCTCCCAAAGTGCTGGGATTACAGACTTGAGCCACTGTACCCGGCTCAGGTTTTCAATGGCTAAAACGTTTTTTGACAAAGAAAATGTGCTGTACGCCATGGTTTCCAGCGGTGTCTGTACCAGGAGTATCGAACCTTTTGGCTTTCCTGAGCTGCACCAAGTAAAGAGGAATTGTCTTGGGCCACACACACATTATATAATATAGTTAGTGTATATACCTAATAAGACTTGTAAAAATATGTTTTATTATAAAGTTTAGAAAAATGAGAACAATCTATAACTAGTGGGAAATTTGACCTTGTTTTGTAAAACTAATCTATCAATGTTCAATGGAAGTGGTTGCAGTTCTTAGTGAGTTCTCAAGGTGCTTGTCAGAAATGTTTGTTCGAGTTTTGCTCTTTGTGTGCTTCACAACTGAAAACAGCTGCTCACAAACGTATGTGCTGTCAAAAAGCTATGTCATGAGCAAGGTGGGATCATGAACTTCAAAAACCACACATGGAGTCACGAAGAAAATAAACACTGAAAAACACATGACGTTAAAAGGTTTTGTGGGCCCGCATTACTAGCTGTTCTGGGTTGCATGGTGACCCATGGGCTGCGGATTGGGCATGCCTGGTCTGTATCATTACCTCTGAGATGAGCACCTGGCCTGACATGCAGGGAACACTTAAGAAATCGAGTGACTTGAGATGGCTTTGCAGAGTTAAAATCCTTTGAAGCCTTATCATTTCTTCCTGACACCACATCTACAGTGAAGCTGCCCCTGCGGGTGCCTCCGTTTGGGCTGGGTAGCCCAGTCTCTTGGTCTGTCTTCATCTTCAGATGCTAGATCAGATCCCACTGTGGCCAGTGTGTGGTGTCGGGCAAGCACATCCTTCAATTTCTCTGTGTCTCATTTTTCTCATCTGCAAAATGATGGCATTGGGCCAACCCAGTGGTTCTCAAATGCTAACATGCATCAGAGCCACCTTGAAGCCTTGTTAAAGCACAGCTGCTGAACCCTAGTCTTCAGAGCTTCCAAGTTGGTATTGGGAGGGACCCAAGAGTTGGCATTCCTTTCTTTCTTTTTTTTTGAGTTGGAGTCTCACTCCATCGCACAGGCTGGAGTGCAGTGGCATGCTCACAGCCACCCCAGCATCGATGTGCTGAGCTCCAGCGATCCTTCCGCCTCAGCCTTCCAAGTAGCTGGAACTACAGGTGCATGCTACCCCGCCCAGTTGTTTTATTTTATTTTTTATTATTTTATCTTATTTAGATGAGGTCTTTCCAAGTTCCCCGGGTTGATCTCGAACCCGCGGACTCAGGCAATCT